TTGGAGAGTACTTCGTTGGTAGAAGCACAAACGTAAGTCGCGTTTCCAGAGAATTGTGGAAGTCTGATGGGTCTCAATTACTTGATGATGATGAAAAAATTTAACCTTGTTTTGGAATTGATGAGTGATGCTTGGTTGATTGTGTTGTTTTTTTGTTTCAGAGCATTTGAAGGAGTTTGTTCTAGACTTTTGGGGGCTTTGGAGTCTTTGAGAGAGCTGGTTTCAGATAATGATGATTTCCCGAAGAGGGATACTTTAATGCAACTGTCATTTGCTTCCCTTCAAACCATAAACTCTGTATGGCTTAATGCTCTATTGTTAGTGTCTGACTTTCTGATTCCATTATTCTAATCTCTTATCACTTTCAGGTGTTTTGCTCGATGAACAGTATGTCCAAGGAGCTTAATAAGGAGACTATGTCAAGGTGGATGTTTTAACTGCGCCAAACTTTGACTGAACATTCCGGAATCGTTTGTTTGCTCACTTTAATTTTTTTTTTTCTTGTGTAGATTGCTATCTTTGGTAAATGACAATTTCTCCCGATTTTTGTCATCCAACCAGAAAAATGAGGTGTGATTCTTTGGCTCACCTGCTGTATAAGCAGAAGTCAAAATCTTTCCGAAACCTTTGGAAGAGTGCATTCTCGTCTTACATAAGTCTTTGTCTTGGTTTTGCAGATAGAGACCATGAATCTGAATTTAAGCCGTTCCGCTGTTGCACCTAATGCCGGAACCAGCAGTGAGGAGAATATTAACCGAGTGCTCAGACAAGTAATGGTGATTCTTTTCTTTCCAGAAGCTGTCTTTAGAAGGTACTCATCGAGGAGCCTTCCATGTAAGGAGTAGGCTGCCTCTCCTAGACCTTCACAAGGATCATGATGCAGACAGCCTTCCATCGCCCACAAGGGAAACAACACCAAGTTTACCCCTAAATGGTCGCCATACGATGGTTAAGCCAGGTTTTCCCGTTAGTAAAGCGGGCCAAACGACTGAAGGTGCCAAAGTCTATCCATATGATAGTGAGGCCCTTAAAGCAGTTTCTAGTTACCAGCAAAAATTTGGTCTTAATTCATTCAAGACAGATGACCTTCCAAGCCCAACACCATCAGGAGAGCCTAATGATGGCAATGGAGACATTAGTGGAGAAGTTTCTAGTTCTGTTGTTAAGAGCTCGAAGCCGGGGGCTCTCCTGATTTATGGGCAAGATGTTCCTCTGCCGTCCACTTTTAATTCTAGAAGTGTGCCTGTTGCAAATGCTGTTTCTAACACTGTTCCACCACATCATCTGTTAAACCATGGTATTTCTGCACTAACTTGTGCTACTCAAACAAGTGCTGCTCAAACAATTCTTGCATCTATTCAGACAGTAAAACCTTCTGCAAAGAGTCGAGATCCAAGACTACGGCTTGCAAAACCCGATGGTGCCAATGTAACCATTTCTCCGTACTCTGCTGACGAGTCTAGAAATCTTTCTAAAGTAGAGCCTTGTGCAGACTTTGTGAACCCAAGAAAGCAAAAAGCCACTGATGAGCTTTTTATTGATGGGCCTGCATGGAAAAGAAAAAAGAGTGATAAGAATGCGCCAAAGGCAGCTGGAATTGGTGGCTGCCTTGAGGATACAGAATCATCAGGGCTCCAAAAGCTGGATTCCAAGACCAGGCTAATTGAGAACGGAGTAACATCTATGACAACAAGTGTTATGTCCATGAGTGGTGTTTCTGTAAGCCAAAAAGTACCGACGACAGCTTTAACTGACGCTGCATCATTGTCATCGATTCTTAAGGATATTAACCCTACAATGTTACTTAATCTCTTTAAAATGGGAGAAATGCAAAAGGTACCAGAAAAAGCTCCCCAGAAGCCCAAAGATCCAAGAAGAGCAGCACAACTTCCTGGCTCTTCCGTGCCACCACCTGCATCGAATGCTCTAGCTGCAAATTTTTCACAGCCAGGAGCGCCTCAGGATACTTCCCAATACGCCCCCTCCGTGAGTATCTTTTATCTTGGCTGAGTGTAGAACGTTTTCTTTCAAATTTTTCTAACTCTTCTGTCTCATTTTTTTTTTGGAAATTTTCAGGGCGAATCTGGAAGCATTAGCATGAAACCACGTGATCCTCGCCGAATCCTGCATGGAAGTACTCTTCAAAGAACGGACTCTTCGGTGGAAAAGCAGTCCAAAATGAATGACGCACACACTCTGGGAACCTTGGCTATGAAGGTTAAGACAGAAGAGTTAGAAACACCTTCCCAGCTTGTTCCACGGCAAAATATCGGCCAGAATGGTATCAGCAAAATGAAAATTTCGGGTGAACTTTTCAGTGGAAAGACACCAGATATTTCAACACAATTCACCAAAAACCTGAAAAATATTGCTGATATGGTTGTCGTATCACAACAAGCTGGCAATCCTCCAGCAGTTCCGCATTCAGTAGAGATTAAGATGGACAAAGATGTTAAACAGAATCCTTCACATCTCAACGAACAGGGGGATGGTGTGTCAGTTTCAGCAGCATCAGTAACGGCTGCAGGTCCTACTCGTTCCATGAACAGTTGGGGAGAGGTGGAACATCTATTCGAAGGATATGATGACAAGCAGAGAGTAGCTATCCAAAGAGAGAGAACTCGGAGGTTAGAGGAACAGAAGAAAATGTTTTCATCTCAAAAGCTCTCTCTTGTCTTGGATTTAGACCACACCCTTCTCAATTCAGCCAAGGTTTGTTTATCTCCCTTCTAGTTCGCTTAACATTCTTACATTCTTTCTAATGTTGGCTTTTAATCGTTTTCAGTTTCATGAGGTTGAAACCGCTCACGAGGCGATTTTGAGAAAGAAGGAAGAACAAGATCGTGAGAAACCATATAGACATCTCTTTCGGTTTCCCCACATGGGAATGTGGACTAAACTTAGACCAGGGATTTGGAATTTTCTGGAGAAGGTAACTCATTCAATAACATTTTCTTGCTAGGCTTTATGTGCAAGACACTCACTGTAACTTTTCCTATGAATTTCAGGCTAGCAAGCTGTACGAGTTACATCTTTACACTATGGGGAACAAATTGTATGCTACAGAGATGGCCAAACTGCTTGATCCCAAAGGGGTTCTCTTTAATGGGAGAGTGATATCGAAAGGAGATGATGGAGATCCTCTTGACGGAGATGAACGAGTACCCAAGAGCAAAGATTTAGAAGGAGTTATGGGTATGGAATCGTCTGTGGTGATCATAGATGACTCTGTCCGAGTGTGGCCTCATAACAAAATGAACTTAATAGTTGTCGAAAGGTATCATCTTTCACGCTATCGGTATAGCTTGCTTACTGTACAGTGTAAAATATCTGTCTTCTGATGTGTATCTTGTGTTGCAGATATACTTATTTCCCTTGCAGTAGAAGGCAATTTGGGCTTCTTGGTCCTTCTCTTCTTGAGGTTGATTTCGATGAGCGACCTGAGGAGGGCACATTGGCATCTACATTAGCGGTCTGCACTTTGTTATATGCACATTGTTATGTTATTTTATACTCTTCGTTTTGAATCTTAGCATCATCACATGGTTTCACTGTACAGGTTATTGAGAAAATACATACAAATTTCTTCTCGCACGCTTCAGTAGACGAAGCAGATGTGAGGAATATATTAGCTTCCGAGCAACGGAAGATATTAGCTGGCTGTCGGATTATATTTAGTCGGATAATCCCAGTGGGGGAAACCAAACCGCACTTGCATCCCTTGTGGCAAACTGCTGAGCAGTTTGGTGCTGTCTGCACAACTCAGGTGGATGAACATGTCACTCATGTTGTCACCAACTCTCTTGGAACCGACAAGGTAAGAAAGTCTGCAAATTTTATAATCTGTTGGGCCGAGGAAGAAACATCATCGGCATATTCTGAATGTGTGTTTGTTTAAGCAGGTGAATTGGGCACTAACCAGGGGTAAATTTGTTGTTCATCCTGGCTGGTAAGACACTTTTGAAAGAATTAAAAACAAAAACATAACGAAAGCAATTATGCTTTTCTGTTTGTAACAAGTTTATATTTGCCCGAGTGTAGGGTGGAAGCATCAGCTTTTCTGTACCAGAGAGCAAACGAAAGCAATTATGCCATCAAACCATAAACCAAATTCCATTTTCTGCCCCCACTAAATATCCCCACCACCATATTTGAGACTTGACAAAGCCTGAACACCCAAATAAGTCATATCGGGTTGTGATTAGGCTAGGCCCCCAGGCCCCCTCGGGGATTGTCGCCTTATCGGGTACATATGCATTCTTTGGGTCCGAAAAGAGGCATCCATTGAAATGCCCAAAAGTGTTGGGGCTGTTAACATAATTGTGTCTACTACTAACTTCGGGGAGAGGGTGAAGGAAAGTGATCCGTCTCTGGATATAAAGTAACACCAGAGAGACCCTTCATCAAGAAAGTGATGATGGGTCAGGGTCATGTGCCAAGGAGAGGATCATGTTCACTTTTGTCCTCGACTGTGAATTCATCAGGAGTCGGACGTGGGTTCGCTCCGATAAATGTTTTGATATTTATACTTTTGTCCGAAGAAATGGTGATGAGTAACTTGGCAACAGACAACAGATGCGTAGTTGAGTGACCAAACAAAGCATTGATTGAAATGTCCGTGTCTTCCTTATTAATAATCCCCAGCATTATACGTGGTGGAAAAAGGGAATTCATTAAGACAAAGAGACCACATCAAACTGTTACTTGGTCAATAAGTTATTACTGGTAATGGATCAATGAGGTATTAACTGATTCTTATGACGAGTATATATATATATATATGAGAACGCAACAAAAAAAAAAAAGGCCTTGAAAAAAAAACCCTCAGTCTAGTGTATGCATGCACCAAGTGAAGTGGTTTATCGATGACCAAAAAAATATCAGCCTGGTCAGATTAAAAACTAAAACAAGTTGATAAAAAATTTAAATTAAAAGTATATACTAAGGTTATAACTCTCCTCTACTCAGCGGGTTGTTTTCCACAATCTTATTTTCACTATTTTGATAAGTAGAATAAAAGATTATCTTACGTTTAAGATAAAGTTAATCTGAATGTTAACAATCGTACAAAATTTATATGTTAACGTGAATTAAAAGTATTAAAAGAAGACAACATTGATATGTATCCTAATAAATAGAACATGTGGATACTTTTTTTGAAGATTGATTCATTATATTCTAATGAGTTTGTCGGGATAATTTTCTGACTACTACTACAGCAGAAACATCAGAAGAAGCATTTTTGGAAACGCTTCATGAGCAAGACGGCAAATTATCGACCTTCGAGAAAGACTCTAGGTCGCGGTCAGCTTTAGCGATTTGGCGCGCATAATAGCGTCTCTTGAAGAGTTGAAGATGTGTCTAAGAGTCATTTTTGGAACTGTCTCGGCAGCTATATTGTTTAGCTAATACAAGCCGAGAAATCATTTAGTGGATCCGTATAAGAAGACATCTGTATCAGAAACATACATAACACGCTCTTCTGATCAAGATGTTTTCATCAAATCAAAAGTCAAATGGACTATTTTGCTGGTCAATTAGTAGCCACCGAAAGCACACAACCAATCGTTTCTTAGGAGTTAGGTCCTACGATTATCTGCAAAACACATACCAAGCCTTTGATCGATTCTTAGAATTATGATGTGAAAACCCTAACTGACAATTGAGAGAGTTTTTTGGTCGACATGAATTTGCTGATGTGGCACCTTACACAGTAGTGTACATAACTGATCTAGAATCATTTCGCAGATATTTGTCAATTGTTAGACGTATGTTTTAAAAAAAAATGTTTGGAAACTATTTTGTATTTAAGTTTGATACTTTTATCTTATATCTGAAAAACAAAATAGCTAAACCATATTTTAGCTTGGTGTATCTCATTTAAATAGATAAACACTTATTTTGGAGATTACTTCAAATTTTAATGGTTTTAATACATTTTTACATATATATTGATGTGTCATCCATGAAGATACTCTCTTCATCTTGATTCTTAAAAAATTAGTAATATATGAAATAACAATTTGTAGTTTGGATCAATGTCTTGCTTTAACAAATTCAATATATCTAGTTGTTGTTCTATTTAGTAAGGGTTTATCGCTCTAAGTGGACCTTTGTTAACTTATCATCAATAATGAATATATATTAGTCCTACGATGTTGTTAATAAATTGATTAATAGCAAAGAGGAAAATGAAAAAAAAGGGAGAAAAGGAGAGACAAAAGGTACAAAATTGGGTGAAACTATATAAGAAGTGAGTGCGATAGGCATGCGTTTCTTTGATTTAACAATCCCATTCCCCACCACATCATACACTTTTGCCCCATTTCCCAAATCCTAATAACATCACGCTTTTGTTACTATTGGAGAAGAAAACACATATTATATTATTGATTCCCATTTATGCTAATGAACTTTTCTTCCAAAGGTCAGTCCCTTTTCAATTTGACCTAACAGTCTTTTTATGTAATTTCCGAAATTAGCATTAATACACACCACATCAAATTTAAACATATGGATCTTGAGATTGTTTTTTTTATGTGTGGATTTTAGTACTGTTTAGTAGGGTGTCCGATTAAGGACAAGCGTAACTGAATATTAACGGTATTATGTTCACATAAAACTAGAAAAACGTATAATTTGCAAATGGATTAGTCTGGTCGTTATGTTCACTAATTGATTTTGCACCCAACATATTCGAACAAAAAAAAAAAGAATTCCCTTGTTAAAAAAGAAAAAGAAAAACATGTTCGATAAATATGAGAAGAACTGAGTGTGCGTATGTATATGTTTCTCCTTGTAATTCGTAAATGAAAAGTGGAACTTCTTAAATAATGATCAAAGAACAAAAATGCAATAATAGTAATTGAAAAAATATTATGGTTTGGTAATTGACGGAATGGTGAAATTACATTTTTAAATACAATTCTGCAAAATTTTTGTCAATCAACAAAAATCCGTGGAATGAGAAAATATACACAAAAACGCAGACTACAAAAAACGATTTATAAGTAGCTTAATATATTCCACAAAATATTTTCCATTATTCCGCAAGATTTTTTCCATTGTTCCGCAAGTTTACCAATCAAAACCTATATAAAAGAAAATACTAAGATACTAGACGAGACGTGAGAGGTTGGAGATGGGCCATCAACACTCTTTTAGCCAACCTATAAAGGCAAAAGTTGTTTTCAGATTCAGACCAAATGGGATTTGTCTCTTTAACCTTTCCCACCTCCATTTCAATTCCCTACAAAAAAGTGTGTATATGGGGTCAATAAAAATAATCACACCCGGGGGCATAACAAATCATTATTTTGCCACCATTCACGCATATATTATTCAATGCATAATGTAATTAAGAAAGAAAATGCATGCAGTCAAATAAACAAATTTGGTCGAGTCTTATATCATTCGTCTGAGGGTTATATCAATCAAGAGGTATTTTGCATTCCCTTTTCTGATACGTTATGTCCACTCTATTTGGAATCTAAATGACTTGAGTCTTAACATAAATATTTATAAAAGTAGCCCTTAAATTTATATGAAATACTTAGCAAAATTTTCAAAATGTTTCATTTGAAATCTATGCAACTCTTGAAGGTAATTGAAAAACTGTACATATTGTTCAGACTTCAGAGGCATAATTGTGTGCAGTGGATTCACCAAATATCCTTGCGACTTGCGAGAAGCTCCTTCTTACTCCTACATCTATTCTCTTTCAAATCTTTCGTCTTATTTTCTTGAATGTTTTTTTTTTTTCTCTACCATGCCTAAAACTTTGTTAAAAAAACAGGACCACTTTCATGTCCTTTCCCAACATTTTTTTTTTGCTATCTTTGTAAAAACGAAAGGAAAACAATAAAGAAATTTAGTTAAGAGAAAAATGAGAAAGGACAATAAGACTTTTTGCAGGGTTTGAGTGAAGTCCAGCCACGCCAAGTTCCATTTGCTGATCACATCACCAACCGTTTCTCACCTTTCTTCATTGTTTATTCATGTTACTTCGTTGAGAAAAGTTAATTGTAAATTTCTATGAAAAGTTAAGTTGAATAGCTAGCATGACGCGAGTTAGTCAATGCTTCATAAAATTGTCTTCATGACTAACTAAAGGAAGAAAACGAAAAAAATATTGACGAAAACCAAACCCAATACTATGTGTGGTAAAAGTAAGACTAATTCCAATTGTATTATATCTTTCTTTTGGAGAATAAGTCGAACTAACGAACGAAGCACTAAAGGCTCAATGATGTACATGAATTTAGCTTTTCATAGCAATTCTAGTAGCTGAAAATAATTTTATTTAATAGATTTATTGTTTCCTTATCGCAATATGTTTACTAATTTGAATGTTTTATTAATATGATAAAAATGTAAGTTTTTATGATCAGATTATGAGGCAGAATAAATGTACGAAAAATTAGAAAGTATTCACTTTATAATATCATTGTCTATCACATAGAAATCTAAAATGTGATCATAATGAATAATTCTATGAAGAATTAGCGATTCTGTTTATAATCATATTTACTAGTTACAATACATAGCTGTATATGTAACACACAAAACCATATAAAAGCTGTGACAAAAAGTTATAAAATAATTTTACCTGTAAATCACGCGGCTTACGGCTTTTGCAGAGAAGAAAATATTTACAAAATACTCGATATTAACAGAAACAACGAAAAGAAAAGAAAAAATGATTTCTTGATATAAATGCCGTACCAAGTGGAAAAACAAAAAAAACAAAACGCAAAGCCATATCTTCTACTTTCTCTGTTGACTTAGAGAAGAACCACGATGTCTCGCCTGCAATGCCTAACAATGGCGACTGCACTATTTCTGCTTCAAGCTCTAAGTTCAGTGAGCTCCACTGTTCAATCCAGAGCCGACCAGATCACCCGTTTACCCGGTCAACCCCGGGTCGGATTTCAACAATACTCTGGTTATGTCTCAATTGACGAGAAGAAACAGAGAGCTCTGTTTTACTACTTGGCTGAAGCAGAAACTGAACCCATATCTAAGTCTCTCGTCCTCTGGCTCAATGGAGGTTAATCTTTTACTAAACCCCAAACTCAAAATTTAGGATCTTTCTTCTCCTTTATTACACTTTGTTTGGAAACCTAAAGATTAGAAAGAAAAAGAGTTTGATTTTGTTTTGGGTTAATGGCAGGACCTGGGTGTTCATCATTGGGTGTTGGTGCATTCTCTGAGAATGGACCTTTTAGACCAAAAGGATCAGACTTAGTGAGGAATCAACATAGCTGGAATCTAGGTAATGTGTTCTTGGATAATTCGAATATTTATATCTCTGTTTAACGATAGATACTTATTAAACTGATTTGTATTTTTTTATTATATGCAGAGGCTAATATGTTGTATCTAGAGACACCTGTTGGAGTTGGATTTTCTTATGCAACTGAGAGCTCCTTGTATGAGGGTGTGAATGATAAGATCACTGGTATTTTCAATTTAATTTCTTTATTTTCAATCCCCAGATTCTGGCTAAAAAAAAATAAAAGAAAAT